AATCCAAATTGTGGGAAGTCTTTTAACGGCTGGTCCGATCAGCAGTTTGCACCGTTTACCTTGCTAATAAAATGGTATATGTCCTGGGTGATGTTTTGCGAGACATAAAATGGCTTCTCCGACGTAATACATTGTGAACAGCTGTTTACAAATAGTCGGGAAATGCGCTTTTATTATCACAGGTATATCATTTGCAGCGATCAGTCATCATCAGTTGAGATTGGATCGGATGTTTTGGAGCCGGTTAAGAGAACGCGTGGGATGAAAGAGTTTCTGGCTGAGGATCAGGTGATCTCTTTGGAACAATTGGTCTGCGTGGAACAGGTACTCTATTTTTTGTGTTGCTGGTGATTTGACTAATAAGTAACTGATTTTCAAAATTGTCAGCAACAGCAGCAGCAGGGCTCTGGTTGTAGTGTATGGCGGAGCAAGCAGTATCTCCTTGTTTACGCACGATAATTTTTGATATTGCCGGGTTGAAGTTATATCACACAAAAGTGCTCTGTAGGTTTGTTATTACCAGTCGTTGTGCGTAATCAGTCTAGGTTGTTCAGGATTCGACTGCACAACATCTTCCAGAATCTGGGGACACATCATACAGAGATGACAGGGATTCGCATGTTACCGACGAAATTGAGCAAAAACAGATGGGAATTGGTTAGTTCCTTGAACTTATATATGCGTTGAATGAAAGACTTGAATGACCTTCTGGAACTAGACGAATTAGTTCGGCAGCTCGCATTTTTTATATCTAAAACTGTTTTAAATAGTAGTTGTGCATTTTCAAATTGTTTTGTGCTTAAAAATTGGAAATTTTACTGTAAAATGAATTGTTACTTTCAGCAGGTGCCGAAATCGCAGACGATAGAGCGCTTGGTGGTCGAGCACATGAGACGGGCACGAATACGCTTGGGAGTATTGAAGTACAGGTCTAATAAATTTTTGACTCCAAAATAAAGACTTTCATAGTTTCTGTATACGTATCGTCCTGGAATCTACCGATAAATTTCCGTATTTTTGTATGAGTTTGCTGGACTTATGCGTTTTTCAGGAGCGGAACGCAGTAATGAGCATTGATACAGCTGAGGAATTATGTCACAGAGAAGGACGCATTGATGAGGAAGTTGAGGAGGATCGAGATGAACGTGAAGTGCTAGATGGGGATGAACATGAAGTACTAATAGACGAGGAAGACAGCCCTGGTCAAAAAGTTTTGGCAGATGAAACCGATTTTAGCGATGCAGCGGTAGAAGACAGCACGGGCCAGGAAGTTTTGGCAGATGAAAATGATTTAAGCGATGCAGCAGTAGGTGAAAGCACGGGTCAAGAAGTCTTGGCAGATGAAAGTGATTCTAGCGATGCGGCGTTAGAAGACAGCACTGGTCAAGAAGTTTTGGCAGATGAAAATGATTTTAGCGATGCAGCGGTAGGTATCAAGCGAACTAAAGGAAATTTTGCTGCTAAACGGAACTTGTGATTTTTGTATATTTGCGAAAATTGATATGATATTAGCACTGATAAAAAGATATGTGCAAGAATTGATGGGACATTTTCAGGAAGATGAAATGGTGGGGGAGGAAGAAGAAGCAGGAACAGATAGTTTTGATGAGCGTGAATTCGATGAGGAGGAGGGCGAGTATGATTCACCACCTTCGTGCAGACTGCCGACTTTCTACCAGCAACAGGTCATACCCCCATCTTTTAAGGTTTCATTACGTGCGGGAGAAACAGCATAATGTAGTAGGGTTGTGTGACGATGTCTGACAAATGCCGTTGCCGGACTTGCATGTTTAATTATGCTAACTATTTTAGTAGTGCTCGATCTTGTGATATCATCGCGACTCCTAAAAAGGATTTTTGCGCCGATTTTTTTTGTTGCTAATGTTTTAACTTTATGAGAATCATCTTTTGACGACAGTCGACCAGCAAGCGAAAAACTGAGAGAATATTATGCGGTAGGCAGAAATCTGAGAAATTAAGCAGGAAGGAGGGGAGGGCTTTTATCCAGAAATATTTTTTTACCCGGTTTCTCATCTCTGATTATTTTCCTACGTGGTTTAGCTGTGCTCTGCTCATTGACTGTGCCCTTTTGTTATCCCACTTATTTTCTCTGGTGACGACGAAATCAGAAATCTGCCGACATCGCTACGTGCCTGACGTCTGTTTTGCAACAGGTTATGACCTCCAGCCCTCTATGGACACAAGACCGTTAGTACAGATTCGATGCAGAGCCTGAGACTTTTATTAACTTCTCTCTTTATTTGCTGCCCTAAACTGAGCGATAAGTGTAGGCTCAAGAGGATAGGCTCTTTTTGGTTGTTGTTTAGTTCTTCCTTCTAGAAATAAATCCTCTCTGCCTTCCTCCTTTTTTATTATCTCATACTATCTTCCATGGTCCATTCGTTAGTCTTTTCCGATCGGGGCACATTTTCATCATATTCCTGGCGAGTAGGTAGCCGACTGTTGATTCCCACTCCTGCCCGCGTTCTGCGCTCTGTCTGTGTTTAAAAATAGGACATGAATCATAGGCTCCTTCCCCGGGAAGCAGACATATTATGCTTAAACATATGTCTGCTCAGACATGTTATATCTTCAGCACACATGATATATGAGTTGTCCTCTTTTCTCCGATTCTAATACTGCTAACATCAAAAACTTCATCTGAAAGTCCTAGTGCCTGGTTCACTGAAATTTAGACAAATTTCTCGCATTGGTTGATCGTACGTACAAGTTCGTTTGTTTGCCTTATAAATTTAATTATTAAGTAAACACTGTGTGCCCTGGTAGACGGCTGCTGGAAATTTTTTCATTTCGGGGCGTCTTCTGCTATTATTCCGGAATTGATTTTTTTTTCTAGGAGTCAGAGAATGATGAAAGTGATGATGATGACGTTATATTGGTTGTGGATGATAACGAAACGGATCCTTCGCGTTCCTCAGTAAATCCGTCCGTTGTTGAGTCACAAGAAGGCGACAGAGGGCACCAAGCGGTCGCAGGCGGTATAGAAGGAAGCGAACAGCAAAATGTTCTGAGTTAGTCCTTAAAACTTTTTGCCTTTTTTGCTTGCTTCTTTGTAATTTCGCTTGTTCTTGACATTTGAATGTAGTTTTCAGAAACTGCTGTCAGATCAAAAATAAATAGCCCCCCCCCCCCGTTTTTTTTATCCTCCCTTGAAATTTTAGCTTCCTAGCTTCTCTGGTTCTTGAGTTGAAACACCCGGATAAACTGCACTCGGTGCACATACATACACATAGCATCTTGACAGTATGCATTTGTGCTGCAACTGTTGCAGCACAAAACGCATAAGAGCAGAATTGAAAACAACTGCAGTAGTGTAGAAGCGGATGAAGAAATGAGAAAAAGTGTTTGCTTAAGCATTTGCTGGGCTAATATTACTAATGTTCCAAATACATTCGCAGATGTGAATGTAAAGTGTTTTGTCACGAGCTTTGGAGTTAGAATTTACAGGAAACGACAGCGGCTACTTGTCGAGCATCGTCGTGCCTGTGCTAGCCACCGACATTGGCAGTGATGACATTACTGAACAAGTGCTTGATGTTGATGATCAGGCAGATGGTAATGAAGTAACGGATGGAGAACAAGATGTTAGCAGTGGGCCGTGCGCACACCCGGACGATGAAACAACAGCTGTGGGATCTAGCCCCTCTGAAGGTGCCAGCGAACGCCGACGCACGCTGATATGTCATTCGGATACCGATGAACCCAGTTCAAGCAGGTGCACAGACTAGTTTTGATTGCTTTATCCATTTTCTTTCCCCAATCTCGTAGCTGTTATGGCCAGTGCTGCATCGTCTTGATGGTCCCAGTGCTTGCAGTCCTAGTGCTTCTCGCTTACTTAATTTTGTATTCTTTTTTCCTGTTTTCTTCTGCTTCCTTGAATTTTATTTCGTAGGTAACTGCCCTAGATTTAATTATGATTTTTGTAGTGGTTCCTCAGAGCGTGGAGCTCGCACATCGTAGCCACGTCGAGATCACAGGCATTCTCACTTATCTTGACTTATTCAGTTAAATGGAAGGAATACGCGTATGGAGTCTTCGAAAGACTCTTTTTCCATTATTTCACGATCTTTTCATTTGAACCAAGTGATTTTTTTTTACAATTTGATGTACATCTTATCCACGTTTATTATTGTTTTCTTCACATTTTGCTTAACTTTGTTCAACAGCTTACTCGTCACGTTTCATTGTACGAGCAAAACCAACCGCATTCCGTGACAGTTAATAAACTTTGGCTCGGTTTGGTCGCCATTGTGAAATGCTCCAACCTTTCTGCTAGCGCTTTCTTACAGCGTCGCTTGCCGGCGTTGCATGACACTTTGCCAACGTGCATTGAGTGGCGTTACTCAGTCCTCATTGGGTGGATTACATGGTTCGGATGCAGCTTGGTCCAGATGCAGCTCCGGAGGCGCCACGGATTAGGGACACGATGGAGGAAGGGAACAAGAGTACTAGTCAGGAGTTCGAAGCAAGAACTGGGGACAGCAGTAAGAGGAAAAGACAACACAGCAGTACAAAGGAAAGTAAATTAAAGGGATCCTGAATAAAAGCTTAAGAAAGCAAAAACAAATAAATGGCAACGCGCACCAGACTAGCCGGTGCGATCATGCGTTTTGTGCAATTCAGC